TTTTTTTTTTTTTGTTGTTCGGGTGATTTGGGAAAGTCATTCGCAGCTTGGTCATTTGACTTTCTGTCTCTTGTGGTTTTGGTGATTCTTGGTATGCTTCTCTCTTCTCCTTATCATAGCCTGCGCTGCTTGTTATTGATTTAAATTTATGACTCTCGGAAGTTGTATAAATTATGGGTTTCGATTGCTGGAAAGATCAGATTACTGTATATTTTTGGTTTGATCAGATATACTTTTTATCTCTCTCTTTGATGCGTTTTGGTTACGTTTGTGTTAAATTCTTTGTAGATGGCCTTCATTTAATGGATTTAATAAAGTTTTTATGTGTAATTGTTGATAATCTGAATAAGATTGTGATAATTTTGTAAATTCTGAATATTGGTGTAGCCGTTCAATGTGTTTATTGTTGATTTGAGAGAATTTAGTTCAATGACCTTTTTAAAACCAAATCTTTCGATAGTTTTATTTGATGAAATTAATGGGGGATAGCTTGATTTGTTGGAATAAATTTTATAGGCTTGGTTGTGTTTTTCACCCACATTTTCTTCATTTTTGGGGGATAAAATTTCAGGAACTGGACAGATTCGTATCAATTTGAAGAGTAATGGGGGATGATACAAGGTCTAAAGAAAATTCTCCTCCGGAATCGCTTCCTACATCAGTAATAGCCAATCCAGAGATGGATGAGTCGAACGGTACTCATTTGACAGCCGTAGATACCAATGGGAAAACAGACTTTCCTGAAATAGCCCCATCCAAAGTGCCGGTCACTACCTCGGAAGATAATAGAGAGCCAACCGGAACTCAAGAAAATTATACTAACAATGACATGACAGCATTGGAGTCGAGTGAAGTGAAAATAATTGCAAGACCAACACCCGAGGACGATCATTTGCCCTCGGATTCATCCCAAGTTGTTACAAGTTCCAAGAAGCATCAAAATTCCCCTGTGCAAGCTAAAATGTCGAGTAATATCACATTAAACAGAGGTCAAATTGACACAACGGCACCTTTTGAGTCGGTCAAGGCTGCTGTTTCCAAGTTTGGAGGCATTGTCGACTGGAAAGCCCACCGTGTACAAACTGTTGAGGTAAAATCTGTTGATTGTCATACTTTTTGTTTACAGATGTTTTTTAACTTTGTGAAACATGAGATTGGTTAAAGAAAGTTGATACTGTGGAAATGTTTGGAAGCACTTAGGGTCAAAATCTGGCAGAAAAAAAAAAAAAGAAAATGCCATATTTCTCATGGTTCCTTGTAAACTGAGATATGAAAGCAGGGAAATGATGCTTTACACAGAAGTACACACACTTGCAACTTTACCACGGGAATTTTCTTCTAGCTAGATTTTAATGCATCCAACTTCTATTACCATAGATCACACTGTCTGAAATTTCTGAAACACTTGCTCACATTTCCTTGTATGACTGAGGCTTATGAAACAGTTTAGTACAAGTCATAAATTTCACCTATCATTGTGTCTTCTCCATAGGCGCTAGGTTCAATTTTTGTTTGACGAAGATAATGGATCCTGATCTTATGTTGTTTCACTCCCTGACACTTTTTCAAGAACTCTTCTCATCAAAATTCCTTTTAACTGCACCATGCAGAGACGAAAAATCATTGAACAAGAGCTTGAGAGGGCACAACAAGAAATCCCTTTATACAAGAAACAATCGGAAGTGGCCGAGGAGGCCAAGATCCAGGTCATAAAGGAACTCGACACCACAAAACGGCTCATTGAAGAACTGAAGCTCAACCTTGAGCGGGCCCAGACCGAAGAGCAGCAAGCTCAGCAAGACTCCGAGCTAGCGAAGCTACGACTTGAGGAGATTGAGCAAGGCATTGCCGACGAGGCCAGCTTTGCCACCCGGGCCCAGCTCGAAGTCGCCCGAGCCCGCCATACAACTGCCCTTTCCGAGCTCAAATCCATCAGGGACGAGCTGGAGCAGCTGAAGAGAGAATACTCCCTCGTGCTGGTTGAAAAGGACCTGTCTGTGAAGAAAGCTGAGGAAGCCGTTGCCTGGTCGAAAGAAATTGAAAGATCGGTTGAGGACCTGACAATCCAGCTCATAACCGCGAAAGACTCATTGGAATCTGCCCATGCGGCCCACTTGGAGGCCGAGGAGCACCGGATTGGGGCCGTCATGGCCAAGGAGCAAGATATACTCACTTGGGAGAAGGAGCTGAAGAACACGGAGGACGAGCTCGAGCAGATGAGGAAGAAAATCTCGGCCTCCCTTGATCTCAAGTTGAAACTCGACAAGGCCTCAGTCCTGCTGCAGGACCTCAAGGAAGAGCTGGCAGTCTACATGGAGTCCAAGCTCGAGCAAGATGAGTTGGCAAAGTCGGACACCACAGACCGGATGAACATCGAGGCTGCTCTCTCTGAGGCGAAGAAGGAGCTCGAAGAGGTGAAGCTAGACATGGAAAAGGCGAAAAACGAGGTTAGCATCCTGAGGGTGGCCGCGAGCTCGTTGAAGTCCGAGCTCGAGCGGGAGAAAACAGAGCTGGCCGCCATACAGCAGCGGGAGGGGATGGCGGAGATCGCCGTCTCGTCCCTCGACTCCGAGCTGCGGAGGACGGAATTGGAAATCTCAGAGTTGCGGACGAGAGAGAAGGAAGAGAGAGAGAAGATGATGGAGCTCCCCATGAAGCTGCAGGAGGCGGCCCTGGAAGCCGATAGGGAGAAAACACTCGTGGAGAGTGCGCGGGAGGAGCTCAGAAAGGCTCAGGAGGAGGCTGAAGGAGTTCGGGCTGGGGCTGCCACCATTGAGAGCCGGCTGCGGGCGGCCCGGAAAGAGATCGAGGCGGCTCAGGCCTCTGAGAAGCTGGCAGCCGCAGCTATAAGCGCTTTGGTTGAGAGCGAGTCAGATGGGGCAGTCGGTGGGGTGACACTATCACTGGAGGAATACTACGAGCTCAGCAAGCGGGCCCATGAGGCTGAAGAGCAGGCGAACGCCCGAGTGGCGGCTGCACTGTCTCAGATTGAGGTGGCCAAGGCGTTGGAGGTGAAGAGCCTGCGAAAGCTGGAGGAGGCCGAGCAGGAGAAGGCCGAGAGGCAAGCCGTCCTTGAAAGGGCGCTGAAGGAGGAGGAGAGGGCTAAGGAGGGAAAACTTGGGGTCGAGCAGGAGCTCAGGAAATGGAGGGCTGAGCATGAGCAGACGAGGAGGAAGGCGGCTGGGGCTGGGGGCCACTCTGGAAGTTTGAATAAATCTCCAAAAATGAGTTTCGAAGAGAAATCTGATTCCAAGAATTCGACCAGCACGCCCAACTCGTCAGCTTTGCCCGTGTTGAGTCCAAAATCGTACACGAGCTACACGGAAACTGATACATCCCCAGAAGTTAGAGTGGCGAAGAAAAAGAAGAGATCTTTGTTCCCTAAAATATTGATGTTCCTCAGCAAAAAGAAGTCACATGCCATGTCTAAGAAGTCGTTCTCGTAAATATCGTGTCTGGAATTGTGGGAACTTATTTCTTTCTTTCCTTTTTTCCTTTTTAAACCGTTTTCTCGTGAAAATTATTTGTACTTGCCATAAAATTTGGTGCTTGGATGTGTATTGAATCTGTAGTTCGTTTCTGGTTGGCATATATATTTGTACAGAGTATTGTTTCGTGTACAATAGTTTGGTCAGATTAAAACAAATGTTTGTAAAATGAAGCCGAGAGTATCTTGTGAGGAATGCATCATAGCTTGATGTGGCTCACAGAGACATGGTTCTGTATAGCATACAAACTGTTCTGAATTTATATTATTGACTTTCTTTCTTTTTTTCTTTTTCCCCATCTGTGCACCTAGTGTTACCGATGCATAAGGATATTTCAATTTATACTGGGTGATCTGT